TTCTGAGAACCATTTTTAACTCCATTGGGAGCAACCATCCTGCCCTTAGCAAGTGGACGCAAGTTGTAAGAGACACCGCCATATGTCAAAGACACCTCTGCTCTTCCTGTGACAATCATATGTCACTACTTTCCACGTACATCAGCGGCATGGTTGAATAGTTACAGATTAAGAAGAGAGTTTTGACTGTTGTCTTATGACGAAAAGTCAATTTTTGCATATCAGTAACCGCAGCAAGCCACTGTGTGTGCATGCTTGGGGAACAGAAAAGCTTACTATAAAACATGTACGGAACAAAGGAGTTACAAACAAGTGGCTTGTTCTACCTCTCCTATATATAGGACCTGATTATATTTGTTCTCTTTTGCATTAACAAAACACTAAATGAAGCATGGTTGACAAAAACCAAAAATGAAACTTGTTCTGTAAGAAACACAGGCCAGCCAATCCATCTGGCAATTGCCTGATAGTTTCTGGCTTTCATAAAGTTATCTTTTAATTTATGTTCACTAGCACCCTCCCAAGTCCTTTAGTTACCTGTCCATGTTCCTGCCAGATCCATGCTGAATTTCCCATGGGGGAGGCTGTATGGCTGTGGCTGCAAATTCTCCTAGCCAATCTCCTACTTCTCTGCACATGCTTGGAAAAATACTATTCATTTCTATGGAGAAGCTGTCTATTATTCGTTCCAGTGATAGACAACCTCTGATAGACTTAACCCCTTCATGACTGAGCTTGTTTTTAGTTTCTGTTCGTAAATGACTGACACGCTTTTGACATTTTTGCTGTGTGATTCTTCCACGTCAGTAATATACTTTCTTACAAAGTGCACCCACACATATTATATATTGTTTTTTAGAGGACAGATAGGGCTACATATTTATATCACATATGTGTGTCTAACGCCTCACTTAGGACAAATAAAATATAAAAAAAGAGAAAAAAAACGTTAAAAAAAACACTTTTTCCCCAGTTTTGATTTGTAGTATTTTTTTTACAACACCAGCACAACTAAAAAATGCAATAAATACATTCATCTATTTGTCCTTTATTTTATTTATTTTTTTACACATTTTTTTTTTTACACTTTTCACTTTTTTTTAAACTTAAAAATTGTATTTTATTTATTTAATTATATCAAACAGTCATTGTGAATTAATCTCACTATTACTGCTTGATAAATTAATAAATTTTTGGTTATTATCAGGCTGCTTCAAACTTCAGAACAGCCAATAATAAGTTAGTGACACTGATCCTGCAGCAGTTCAGGATTCAGCTGTCTCTATAGGTTTTCTGATTGTTGCAACAACGATCAGCAAACTGAAACATTCTTCTTCCAGGAATAGATACATTATAGGAATAGACACATTATGTATCTATTCATGAAAGAAAAAAAGAAAAAAAAGCCAGTATAGCTTGAGAGAGATATCTCTCCCGATCTATACGAGCTGTCAGAATGCCGCAAAAGCCGGCATGTGTGTCCCTCTGCTTTGACTCTCAGACACCCGATATTAAGGTATCGGGTGTCTGAAAAAGGTTAACCCTTTCATTAATGAATGCCTCTGTAGTAAGGGCATCCATTAATGAATGTTAAAAGCTGATTCTCAGCGTTTAACAGCCCTCTAAAGAAGCAAATAACTCGTCACGTACAGTGTACGTGACAAGTCATTTGGTCCCTTTGTGGCTGGACGTACAGTGTACGTCTCCCGTCACGAAGGGGTTAAATTACTGGGATATCCAGGATGGAGAGTTTGCAGTGGCTACTGGGGGAGGAGAGGAATACATTAGAGAATAACTGTACAAAAGTACATTTATTCTTTAATACGTTATGCCAGGGGTGGACAAATTAATGTGCAATTCAGGAGGGAGTCTGTCCATTCCACGAACTAACAGGATTTTGTAGGAGCCAGCTCCATTAATAACAACTAGAGAAAACCTCAAAAGTTAAGCACCAGCTTTAAATTATAAGCAGTATTGGCTACCCGGCTCCTGGAATTTCTCAAGCCCTGATTTATGTGAAAGTAATATTAGACCTTATTGTAATAAATAATTAAACTTTTGTCCCTTCCTGAAATAAGCTAACTTGCTATTCTCTGCTTCCAATGATTATAATAACAAAACAAAGACTAAAAGAAGTACTGGTCTTATTTATATATACAGAAATATAAAATTACATAGTAAAAGATAAAATAGATACAAATGTAGAATTATCACTAAGACAATTAATACAATAAGACAATAAAGAGAATACTTTATGTAGCAAGTCCGTCCTCTGGTTCTATGTCTTGCCTGGGATTTGCCCAGCCCTGATTTATGCAAAAGTAATATTAGACCTTATGACCTATATTCTTGCTCCAAGGGACTCAGAAACTTTTGAGGTTAATGAATCAGCTACGTTCAGAAGGAAAGATCAGCAATAGTAGGCTACATACTTGCATAGTAAAAGTTTCTTTTAAAAAAGGAAACCAGCAGTCATGCACATAATATGGAAGATGGGTTGCCAGTGTTCTGCCATGCACAAAGCTAAAATAACCTCCTTAAGAGATTGAAGAGAGGGCAGAAGACATCTTTTTGAAATGAGCCCATGAGCTGTCATTTCCACAGGGACTAATGACCTGCTTAGAGCAGACACTTGTGAAGCAGCTGTTGTCATGTGGCTGTATGGACAGTGTAGAGAGAGGATGTGACACTGTGCACAGGAACTTTCCAGCTGACTAACAATGTCTGCAAATTTTAGCTGATTATAATTTAGGTTATACAATTAGATTAGGATAAAAATGTAGCATCTTCATAATTTTACAATTTTCTTCGGAACCCTCATTTACTGTACTTGACCTCTTCCATTAAGACTTTCCTCTTCCTCCCTGCCCTCCTGATGCCTTCTCTTATAACCTCATAGTGTTCAAAACTAGATTTTTTTTTCTATAGCTGCCCACTATGTATAGTATCCGTTGCCTCTTAGGCTTGCCTACTTAATGTGACCCTGTCAGGTTTTAAGAAAATGCAGCCAGAAGTTCCCTGCAAGAGAAGAGGTAGCGCACTAACCTCTCCGGTGGCCCGTGTTTCTTACCCTCTCATTATACACCAATGACATAGTAACTAGAGGATTGAACCACAGAACATGGTGGAGAACATAACTCACTCCATGCTACACCTACACTCAATCCAACACTACTGGAATTGTCTGGTGAAGGCAGAGGTGGAATGGATGGTAGGTATGAGACTCAGGGAATTGGAGAGGTGAGTATACTACCACATCTCTTGCAGGGAACTTTTTGCTGCATTTTCCTAAAACCTGACACTGACTATTTGCCCAATAGACCCTCATGGTAAATTCTTAGATACCATACACATAAGCACTGAAAGGGAGCATTCCGATACACTCCTACTAAGAAGCAGATGATATATAAGAGCCATAAGAGACAAGTGACTGAATATACTGTGTATATGAAGGCTCAGCAATTTGCCTTGGGCTATGCAGAATGCAGCGTTGGTTTGCTTTGTTGCTGCAGTCAATGTTTAATTATTTGAGAGAACCCTTTACCAAGCTGCATATATGACACTAATAGATCATCAAAGCTCTATTGAACTTTCAGTTTAAATCAGCTAAAACCGTGCATTCAAACAAAAGATGTTCAAAGTCTTACAGTTAATTTTGTTTATAAAGCAGTCACAGCCTTTGTACAAAAGCCTGTTCCTTGCCAGCACACTCTGTGTGGAAGCAGTGGTCTCTCTGCAGAGTTTAGAAATGCTCCCTGCTGAGTCAGACCTATAAAACTACAAATGGCTACCCCCAGCTGATTGAAGAGCTCTAGCTTTGTCTCAGCAGGGGACGTGCCATACCTGCAGCGAGACCACTGATGGTAGTGTTGAAGGTTTCCTGCTGCCTCCTACACATTCCTATTGGTTAACCAGGCACTCAATTGTGAAACATGCAGTTAGACCTTCATTTCTATAGATACGTTTAAGAAAGGGATGTGAAAAATGCAGAAAATATGGAAGGATCTCTCACTGATCTCCTTTGCATAAACAACTTCAAAAGAAAGCAGCCCACTGCTCTGTATTCCTTCTGGAAAATATCTACTAATGTGCCTTTTGGCAAATGCTGGAGGGCTTAGTACAGAAGTAGATCCGTGCTGTCACATTCCTCAAATGACCAAACCTATAAATATCATACTTGGCGTTTGCTGGTGGCTCATTTACCTGGGGCATAAATTACAGTTACAGCTCAACCTAGTATCATATCTTTCCATTTCAGGAAGGTGAATATGTTTAACCGAATAAGCCTTCTGTTCCAGTGAACTATTTCAGCCTAGTAGGAACATTTAGTGTTTATGAGAATGTGGAAATGTTTGTTCAGATGTTTTAATAGATAGACTAAACATGAAACTCCAGGCCAACGGCTAAACACACATTCTGGGAAAAGTGACAGATTCTCTTAAAAGAACAACCCCGGACCCAATAAAACTCACCTTCCCAATGCTTCCCTATCGTGCCATTCCTCTGTGGAATCCTGGAGCCCAAACTCTGTGTAAGTTCCATGTTGGATGACTTAAGAACTTAAACAAGGTTAACTTACTCTGGCTTTTTCTCATGTGACCAAGCATGGGTCTGGCAAGTGGACCCTCTGACCTGTATTCTAATAAGTAGCAGGTGTTTACGAGGAGATTTAGTAGGAGATTTCCCCTCACATCCTGACTAATTGACAGGGTGTACGGCAACAGAGACGGCAATAAATCCCTTTTAGAAGAATAGGAAAGGCTTAGATCCTCTAACTTGTTTTAACTGCTGTCCAATAGGTATGGAATAAGCTTATAAAAATGTAATAAACACATAATAGATGACTGTGAGGTAAACACTGCAATAACCACACCAACTATGTACTTATTGAAAATGTTTGTTGAGTTTATGCTCCCTTCAGCATTACATATACTAAATTTGAAAATACTAGTTGTGTTTGTTAATCTGACCATTTGCGTCTTCTTTAATCTTCAGATTGTCGTGCTTTGCTGAAGCCCATGGCGTACACATATAGCAGCTCTTCAGCTGCTCCAGTGGGTTCCCAGTACTGCGTCTGTCGAGTGGAACTTTCGGTTTCCTGCCAGAACCTTCTCGACCGGGATGTCGCCTCCAAATCTGACCCCTTTTGTGTCTTATTATTGGAAGTAAATGAAAAATGGACTGAGGTACAGTAATGAACATGTAATTTCAAACCCAGGGAAAGCACTACATTACCTTGCATTGGGGAATTATTGATTATGTTTCACAAAGTGGCTTCAGTTCTCAGAAAAGAGACTTGGAGCAAGAGGTTTTAAGTGGTAATGGTCTGAGTTTTACTATCCCTTGGGCATGGAAGGTCACCTTCATTTTATGATTCATTTGCTTTTATCTGACAGTTCAGAAAATAGATTTTCTGCTTTTTCTGATCGCACAAATGTTCAGGGGAGGTATTTATCTGTCAGTACTCACACATTTAGATTTCAGTTCAACAGAAGAATCGTCTATAATTTTCTCTCTTATGTTTTTGTCTTTTTGCATTTTCTGGATCTTCACAAAACAGACATTACTCATTTCTTTAAAGACGCTGGAGTCAAAAAAGTAAAAGATGTCCTCAGTCAGTTATAATGACCACTAGCATACTTATAAGCCACTGGGCCACTGGTGCCCCAATGCAGTATGATTTAAGAGTTGATCTATGCAGCACTGGATACCTTGGTGCAGACTGATGAGAAGATTTATCAGTAGGCATCTCTCCGATATACAAAGGCCATAGATTATTTCCTAAAGACATGTTTCCAGAAGTATAAGAAGAGGAATGGCACACTAATGTAAGGATTCATATACAAATCATTTTTCATAATGTATCATGTTAGAAAGCCATCGTCTTTGAAGGGTATCAGGGACCCCTTCCTCAGAGTAAAGTAAATAGCATGTTGCCTGCTTAAGTTGCTGATTTGCCTGCCAAAGTACAGACTTTACAATTATTTTTTTGGGACGAGCCCCAGCACTGTCTTCACAGGTGTCCCTACACTTTTCTCTGCCTGAGGCTGACGTAGAAGGGGGTGGGATGCGCTGGTGGTGCATGTTACTGGAGCGGTTGCTGGAGGTGCACGTTACCTGGATCTAGGGGGGTTGGTTGGTGGTACTTTTGGGTCCGGCATTCCATCCAGCTCACTGACATCACTGGTTGGCAGGAGCTGGGTGAGGCGCCAGCCAGAGTGTCCCACTCAGCTCATGGAAACCAGTGACGTCAGTAAGCTGGTTGGGATACTGGCCAGAGCAACCTGGGACGCTCTGGCTGGAAAGGGGACCGCAGGCACAACAGCTGCCCCCCCACATGACCCACTGAGATGCCACCTTAGGCAATCGCCTCAGGCTGCCTTATTATAGGGACAGCCCCATCTGTCTTTAGACACAAGATTTTGCTACTGCATGACTCAAAATCTTTTCTGATTGAGTGAATGCTTATCATTTGTTAGATCATAAGGTTTTTTCTTTTATTGATCCCAGAATACGTCTGGCTTATATAAGTGTTGTGTTGTATGCAATGCTGACTTTTTCGATAGGATAAAAACTATTAAAAGAAGTTTGTGTTTGCTATACCACAACCTCAATAGCAAGTAAACAATAAAAAAATAAAACAGACATTTCCATTCAGACCCATATATGGATAATTATTAATTACCATGGGTTCAGAAGAAAAGAGGGTCTTTTAGAGAAACTGTGTATAAATTACAAAATATCTCAAAATAATAATATCCTTTACAAACACCTTATACAACCAAACAGCGTTGAAATTTATAGCAGAGCACAACTCAGCCAGTATTAAGTTTAACACCTTACACCAACATTCAATGCACATCCCAGGGAGATGTCATGGCAAGAAACCTGTTTAGAAGGATAGAGCAATTAGCAACAATGGGGGAATTTATCAAGACTGGAGTAGATAGAATCTGGAGCAGTTGCCCATGGCAACCTATCAGCATCTCTCTTCAGTTTGCTCAGATAAGATTTGAAAATGAGACAGAGAAGCTGATTGGTTACAGTGCAAATCTGTTCCAGATTGTGCCTGCTCCACTTTTGATAAATTCCCCCCAATGTGTATTGTAGCATCAAATGAAGACCTATAACAGGATCAAAGAGATACAAGGCAATATATATTCTAAATCTAAACTGTGTATATATAGGGGTCTATTCACAAAGCTGCTGAAGGATCTGGCCGTAGCTTCGGCCAATCCTTCGGCTGGCTTCGGCCCCAGGACCCCTTCGGTTCAGGAGAACCAAGGGGGTGCTGTACGGGCTATTCACAATAGCCCGTACAGCTCCCGATCACGGCCGAACAGCTCAGTCGAGCGCTGAGCCGTGCTGAAAGCCGAAGCTGGCCGAGCGGCCGGCCATTGGCCGGCCGACAGCCTGCTTCTGACAGCTGGGCGGAGCCAGAGCCGTACCAGCCTGAAGTGAATAGCCGAACAGTGTTCGGCTCACTTCACTTCTGATCGGTCATTCACTCGGCTGCCCTCGGCAGCTTTGTGAATAGACCCCATAGTGTCCAACAACTATCAAACTTGTATCACTCTTTCCAACGATTAACAGAGTAAGTAGGCACATTAGATTCTAGTTCAATAATACATTGGGATGTTTCAACAATAGATAAATTGTATCCTAAAACAATCCTTGTGAAAAGATAGATGCACAGCGCATCTCCCATAAAGTGTTCTTAGATAATCCATATGATTGTTACTTTACCCACTCTCATGTAATTCAGCAGGGGCTTGGCAATTTCGATTTATAATATGCTATCCTAGGCAAGCAGAGTAACTTTTTAGGTTATTTTAAAAATAATACCTGGTGATCCAGACCACCATGTGAAAAATAAAAGACAAAAAGCCTAAAAAAAAACAAAAACAAATGCAGCTACTACATCTAAGAATTGGTACTTCAATGTCTGAAATGTTGCACATAGTGAATTAAGAAGTACAAAAGTGTTAACTGTCACACAGGACTACCATACGTCAGAAATCTGCATATTATAGGGATACCAAAAAACATGCAGAGAAAGTTAAATACATCCTATTTTAACCAGTTGAGGAATTACCGGGATACACCCTAGAAAACGTCAAGAAGTTCAAAGCATTGCAGACATATATCATACAACCCGTTCATCTCCCCCTTTGGCTTCTCTTGCTGGCAAATTCCAGCAAAAAATGACAGACAGGCTATCCAGCCATTGTGGTGTTAAACAAAACTTTTGAACATAGTAGCGAATACTATTCAGAAGCTTAATTGATCAATACCATGTGACAATGTAATTGTTACATGGTATTAACTTTGCTTTAATTATGTGCAGATCACAGTGGGGGACACTTTGATCAGTTTAGCCAACTCTACCAGTAAATAAACAGTATAAAAATACTTTTTAAAAATTACATTTATTTCCTACTCAGCTGATTAACTCCTTCCTTCCTTTAGCTAGTTTTTATGTGCTGATGTTTTTGTTATTTCCACTTTTTAAGCTATTAATATAATAATAAATAATGTATGTGATACTCTAGTTACTTAAAATTAATTGAATTAAAATGTGCTTATAAATATTAGGACATGGCCAGTACATACTTATATTACTGTTTGGAAGATTTCAGGTTTTCTGTTCTTTCAATAACACATTTGTATTTAAACAGCATTTTAGTCTGCCATGAAGGACTAGACCTTAGAACCATTTTCATTCTGTTCATAGTTATAGTATGTGATATTACCTGAGCTTTACAAGGGAGCACACTGAAGGAAAAAACAAACAAACCTGTTTTTAATGGTTGTGCCACATTGCAATGTAATTGAGGGCCCATTGTTAATGGTATGTTAACACAATTTGTAGTATCCCCTTTTACTGCAGCAGACGGCAAAATTAGTACCGCAGTTCATTGTGAATCGCACCTCAGTGCACTTTACAGTAGTGGCCAGCGCACAGCATTTATGAAATGCTTCTCTTTGTTGATAGTAGCTTTTTGCTCTTTGCTAGTCCTGCAATATACCATTGCCAATGGAAGAGGCAACAGGATTCCATCACAATGACTTAAAGGGGCAGAGAGCTGTGCAGACATTGAAAAACAAGTATTAATAACTAAACCCACACCTCTGGTTATATTTCCAAGCCTTGGCGACCTATACTGGGAGTGTTTTATATTTTGTGCCTGTATAACTTCCTAAAATCTGACAACAAAGTAAAAGGGAAGCACAAGCATAATGAAATACAATCAACCTTTCAGATGTGTAGTGCTGTGATTTCGTTTTTATTTATTAAACTCCCAAACTTTTATCAATAATGAATTCAGATCCAGCAAATATACATTTCCAAGCAAATAATTTCTTTACATTTTTGCCCAAACACTTAAGTCATCATATTTCTAAACAGCTCCAACTCTCTCAACTCTGCTTCCCTGAACCTCCTGCCCAGTACAAGATTACATGGGGCAGAGCAATCTCCAGTATCTGTCCATCTACTAGATTGGAGAAGGAAAGAGGAATGAGAAGGAAGCAGGGAGCAAGGGATTGACTTGCCTTGCTATGCCTGTGTGATTGTGTCACACTGTGCCTGTTGAAGGGGACCCTGTGCGGGCCCCAAAATGTTGCTTGAATGTGACGACATGCGTCAATAAAGGATGAACATTTTACCACATTGTTGGCATGCTGGTGACATTTTGTTCTATGTGTGTTTGTGGAGACACACACACAACTTACTAGCACACACAAGGGTGGCTCCATAAGGATCTGCAAGGGACAGGAGCCACCCTGAAATAGGAAATCAGGACCAGAGCTCAGGGGACCAGCTGATTCTGTAGGAAAATAAAACTTTTAAACATCAAGGAGCAGCATCCATTGTAAGTGATTTCATCAGCATTTAAAATAGCTTACAAGCCTCTTGACTTTATTATGACTTTAAGTGTCTAAACTCATGAAACTCTGCTTCTTTGAATCTAAATTTAGGCAGATATAAAGGAAACATCACTTATTAATTTAATACTGAATTCATTAAAAATCATTAAATGCAACTAATAGAAGTACCTGAATTTGATTTCATAACCACACCTTCTTATAATCCCCTCTACAGTAGAACTCAGACTGGGAGGGATGGGCAGCACTAGGACAGTCCTGACAGGGAACATGCTGAAAGAACAGTATAGGAAGAAGG